TATTCATGCCCGTGCCGCCTCTTGGGTGGCTTAATCTTTATCAATCTTTATCAATGGTCACACATCGAGGTAAGGTCAAGGGATTATGACCGCAGCTGCTTGCCCAAATTAATGAGTGCAGTCAAGAGGACAAAAGGTGACCTCAGGCTTCTAGGAACAAAGTGACCGACGGTTAATCGGATTATACCTTCCTTGGGGTGAAATGTTTGAGGCTATGGCTAACTGAACAAAGTTACAGCCCCGCTCCTGTGCCAGGTAAGTCCACTACGGGCTCACCATAGCCCGTGCTACTTGCAACGTTTAGTTCCGAGTAGCTGAATCTAAAGCAACAACTGGAGACAGTCTTGTTGTAGGAGTGGACCTGGCAAGTCCTCCAGATCTTGTCTGTGGCAGCAATGAAGTGGAGCGGACAACTATGTGGGATGTGATCTTGTTGACCAAGTTGCAATATGTGAGTATTGAATGCAAAACTAACCGGGTGTGGAGCGTTGTGGTAATCATTCAGTATTAGGGACTTAGGCGGAAGTTACGAGTGTAGGTGATGACCAGGGAGGTCAAGTTCAAGTTCAAGTATGTTTATTGAGACAAAGAAAAAAAATACATCTCAAAGGGATAGAGTAGCTTAGGCTATTTCTACCCCCCCCCCCTCCCTCCCCTCCCCAACCACTAGGGCTGGACGGTAGAGCGACGGTCTCGCTTCATGCAGGTCGGTGTTCAATCTCCTACCATCCAAGTGGCTGGGCAGAATTCCTTTCCAACCGTCCCATCCCAAATCCTTATCCTGATCCCTTCCAAGTGCTATATAGTCGTAATGGCTTGTCGCTTTCCCCTGATACTTCCCTCCCTCTACCCCCCTCTATTTCAAGTCCCTCAAGGGGCACACAAATTCAGAGAGTACAAATACACAAATCACAATACAAGAATCCCATTTAACATTGCAGGTTAATATATTAAGCACAGCATATAAGTGTTACACTCTTGGGGCAAAATTCTTGTAGCTCCTAAGTATACTGTCTATCACACCATTATCACACATCGAAACAATTTGATGTGGTACACTACTTATTTCCTTATGTCTATAGTTATCAATAAGTTGACACTCTAATATATAATATATAATGTTCTAAGGTGTGGGCGTGCGGCATACTACATAATTTACACTCCTTATCTTTTTCACTGACATCAACACCGTATTGCCAGATATATTTGTATCCTAATCTTAATCTCATGTAAATTGAATCCTTCCAAGTAGACTTTCCTTTACCATAGGTAAAGGACGAATTTGTATTTATTATTGAATAATTCTTAAGTGTGTTACTACTGTCCACCATTGCCATTCTCTTTACCATTTCTTCACCCTCTTGGATCATCTTGATTCTTGTTTTTATTTGTTTCAAGGTTAACTGACATACAACATCAACAAGAGTTTTTTTCCGTGGCTCTCTTAACCATCTCATCAACTACCTCATTCAACAGTATTCCCACATGTGAAAGGATCCACATGAATCTTACTTTATCCCCAGTTTTTTCTAATTCCTTAACATTCTCTCTACACTCAATTACACTATTCTGGTAAACTGGTCGTCTGCTAACCTCATTGTTAACTTTATCAATCGCTCTTTGTAAATCAATAAAAATTTGATAGTAATCATTATCATTAGCTTGACATTTAATAGTACAGAGGTACTTTTGCCTCTGAGGAACCCGAACAAATTACTAGACAGCTGATCGCTTATCATATATAAATGGCTATTAAAATTATCCTCTCCATCATTTTGCAAAATCACGAGGTTAAGGATACTCTCCATTGGCTTTAGGGATAGGGATGATCATAGCTTTTTTTATATTTACTAGGAATACTGCCCTCTTTATAACTAATATTAAAGAGGTCTAACAGTGGGATTTTCGTCATAATGGCAAGTTCATTAAGTATTTCATAAGTTACTCCATCCTCCCCCCGGTAGATTTCCCAACTTTGATCGCCATTATTAGTTCATCTCTGGTAATACCTGTGCAAGTGACATCACCACTGTTACCTGCTGTAAGTATAAGTTAGGATCTACCATAGTCCTTTCTTAGATCTTTCCAAGAATCTAATGACTTTCTCGTTACAGAGGACAATGAACTAAGCTTAGCAGCTTCCACCCAAACTTAGGTATACACAGCAACGTGTTGCTGTGTATACCATATGAAAGATTACGCAGTGTAGATAATAAACTAGCTATAAGTTCATCTAATATTACTATCTCACTGGATAGTTAGTCATACATGGAATCGGGAGAAAATACCTGCCTCGATACAAAGAACAAATCAACTAACTAATCTTCTATGTATGTACTTTTACCTGAATAAACATTTGATTTGATTTGATTTGAACTCTGATTAAACAACAACCTCGCGACGCGATATATATAAATTTATGAGGTTACTGTAAAACTTTTTTGTCTGTGTGTTTTAATTTTAAATACAAAATAACAATTATTAATTCAATTAACATGTTATAGTGCAATGTTAACTTCCAATGTTAATATTATCACAAGTTATTTTACCTAGGGTAAAACTTTCACCAATGTTATAACAAAGTTAATGCACAAAGTTAATTTACCCAATATTGAGGTTTAAGTTATTTTATTAATTGAACATTCAAATTTTATTATTTATAAGTTTATTAATGATTGAGTACTAAATTTATATCACCATAACGTGCTTGAATCACTGAGACGAAAAAGTATGTAGTCCCAATACAACTGCATTTTCCTCGTGCTTTGGTTTTAAATACAAAATATAAATGTATAATGAATTTGAAATTATTTGGTTCGTGTTGTGTGGCCTTTTGTTTATGTTCCCGCGCCCTCTAATCTAGCTACGCCACTGAGATGATTTCGGCCTTACTAAGATACTAAGAGTTTTAAATAATTTATACAATTGGTTAGAGAACTAGCCAATGCTTTTTAATATTGAGAATGTAAGAGTGTGTAGGCAGAGCATGACAGTGCGCAGCACAACTGTCACATTGTTCAGCTGGAAAAGATCAAGGAAAATGGGAGCTTGATTTGTTCAAATGGGGAAGATCGAAAATTTGAACAAATCAAATGGAGGGGGGGGGATCTTTGACAAGCCGCCGGCTTCCTGAGTCATCGAGACCACTAGTGTTAGTGGCTCTCAGGTAAACTCAGGTAATATCAACTACACTAGCTAGCATGCAGCAAAGGAAGTTAGGATCTACCATAGTCATTGAAAGTTTCACAAGTTGGACCGGTACGGTCAATAATTACCTGTAAAATTAAATTATTAGATTATTTATTTACAGATAAATACCTGTATTTGCCTGAGGGTAAGTGCGAAGACAGGAAGCCGGCGGCTCATCGTTACTAGTAGTAATAATAATAATTAATATCAGCCTTGGAGAAAGGACTAAACAGCGACCAAAAATAATTTGCTGCCCGAAACGCTGCGCGTACTAGTGGCTTTACAAGAATGTAATTACTATGCTATGTATCCTCACAATCCCAATGTAATCAACGAATTTAACGTGGACAGGAAACACTATATCTGTGATTGCCTTGTTATCAGTGACTTCAGATCAAATAGTATGAGGTACCTTGAGCTCTGTAATTACGTTATACACTCAGGAATATCGGTAGATATTCTTGTGCTGTACCCGGATTTTGCTAGTGGAGACTAATAGTTCAATAGGCCTTACTTCGTTTCAAGTTCTTACTTGATTCCATGTATGATTGGCCATCCTGTGAGGTGGGGATGTGGGATGAGCTTGTAGCTGGTTTTTGATCTACACTGTGTGGTCCTTCATACAGAATAGAGAAGCAGCACATTGCTCGGGATACCTAAGCGTGTTAAAAAATAAAATATATTGTTTGAGAGGAGTCTTGTAGAAACTGGTAGGAGTAATTATAATATAATGTTTCCATGATTCAATTCTTGGCTCTTGTGAAAATCGTGAAGTTGTTGTTTAGTCAGAGTTTGATTTGTTTTTGTATTGAGACGTATTTTTTCCCACGTATGACTAACCATTCTGTGAGATGGGAGTATTAGTATTAGATGAACTTATGTAACTAGTTTTTGATCTTCATTGTGTAATCTTTCATGCAGAATAGGGTAGCGGCACATTGTTGTGTATACCTAAGATTGTTAATAAAAAAATGGGTCAAGAAACCGGCATGTCAAAGATCTCCCTGTTAATATTCATGATAAATTTTTTCAGATGAATTTTAAACAGAAGTAATATCTTAAATTAAGGTAGTTTTCAGTCTTACAATGTGGCTTGTTGAGCTTGAAGCTGTTGCCCCTTGTATGTGTTACATTTGACCTTTTACAGAAGAGGTCAATTCTTGGGGAGGTCAAGACGTTTGGGCGCGTTTCCTTAGCTGTATGCCTCATGCATATCAAATCAAATCAACTCAAATCAAGTGTTTATTCAGGTAAAAGTACATACATACAAGATGAGTTACAAACATAATGTTGGATTTCTAGAAAGAGTTAGTACTGTACATACAAGGGATAAAGCCGCTAATACGCACAGCGTTTCGGGCAAGCAGAAGAATTATGAACTCGGGAATTAAGCGACTGTTAATTATGGGCTAATTACCTCCTGGTGAATCGCTGGCCTAAGTCGGCCTAAATCCTTGAAGGGGGGGGGGGGGTAAGAGGACCATGATAGGCCTCACGTATAGGCTTCCTTACCCTGACAACTATTATATAAAAAGGGAATTATTCCCGGCAAAATTAAATATTAGTCTATAAATTGCGAATACGGCAGTGAATACGTCGTTAGTTATTAGATAAAGAGCGGTGAGGTATAGGGGGTATACGTGGTCCCGGAAGCACATACCCCCGGGTATAATACAGGGCCAAACACCGCATTTTGGTGAATGTCAAGCAGAGACAAGTATAAGGAAGGAGGCGGGGCGGCGGATCCTCTAGCCAGGGCCCCTAAAGGCGTTCCGGCCGCTGCTGATCCCCTTATGGCGGGAAGGAAGGCGCGCCCCTGGGGTCGGATCCTCCTCACAGATGGCCTCCCGCCCCGTGTAACCTGCCACTGTAAACAAGGCAGCTCTTGACACTCCAGCAAGTTACTCTGCGGGTCCAGCCGTGGCGTTTGGCGGCAATTGAGAGGGTGTGGATGTGTGGTGAGTGTGGGTATCGGGTGTGGCACGGGGTAGATCAGGTGTGGGACGGGGCACACAGCGGGTACGGGCACACAGGTGACTAATATTCCCCCCCTGTGTGGGCGACGGGGCAGTGATGGGCTGCTCCAGTCTTCAGTTCTACTGTCTCTACGACATTCGATTGAAGACAACTTTGCTATTTGGGGTCAACAAAGACCTAATACATTAGTGTGTATTCGTGGTATGACACTATTCTCTCCCTCAGGGTGGCATATGTCATGTGTGTGTGTGTTAGTGCTGACAGCAACTCTTCCCAACCTTGTCTTGTTGACATACATGACACACCTGTCATAGATTTTTCCCAGGATATTATGAAGAATTTTCTCTATTTCATTTATTGATAGGTATATTTTGTATGCCACAAATGATTGTCAGGATGGAAGTAACTAGGAGACATGGTTGATGATTGCTTTGTTCTTTACCATTTTGGAAAGTAAGTATGGTTAAATTACACAGTAGCATCCTCCATGTAGCTAATTTACTGATTGTTAAAGTTTTAGATAGTTAAAACTCCTATATATTTATATTTAGGATATTCCAGAATTGGAGACTATGCCCCAAGGTATATTAATTAATTGGCAATCAATCTTGTACAGTAAATTTCAAATAATACAGCTCATTCTTGAGGGTATTTCATGAGCTGTTTGAATAACAAGTAAATGATCATGATTTATTTGCCTGACCAAGTGATTATATGAATAATTAATAAATGATCATTGTTTATTTGCCTGACCAAATGATTAATGAATAACTAATAAATGATCATTACTTATTTGCCTGACCAAATGATTATACATATGTTTGATACAGGCAAATGCATCACAACTAATTGGGTGCAGATATATTCAGAAGTAGTAAAAAATTTGCAGGTGCATTAAAACTGTGATATCATAATGAAGTTGCAAACTTTGTGCACACCATATATAAAGAAACAAAACTTACTTTTGTTTTGTTAGGATAGGCTTGGTAAGGTTAGCAGAAGGGTGGAATAGATTAGACTTATTTAATGATTGACAGTTATGAGAGAGACTTCTCCTATGAGAAAAATGACTGAAAAGCCCCATGTATGGATGAAATTAAATCCAGTCATAAAATAACTCGCAGATGAACTATGGCTTCCACTGAAACTCCTTTTCAGAAAATCTTTAGGCTAAGGGATAGTTTCCCTAGATTGCAAATATGCAAATGTCACCCCTATTTTTAAATATGGCAGAAAGAGCTTGACCTGGCACATTTGCAAGCTCATAGCGAGAATACTAAAGGAGGGAATCGTTCATGATCTTGGTGAACAGTCTTGTAAAATCATTGCAACATAGGTTTGTTAAAAATACATCCTGCCTAACAAACCTGCTGTTATACTTGTTATAAATGGGGGCTATTAGTGTACCTGGGAATACCACCTAGAGGGGTTAGGCTAGGCCCGGCCCCCCAGGGAATTAGTTCCCAAAGATAGATGTAAAAATAGTCTGCAGTCTAGGTGCAGATTGCCTAACCCTAGTCAAAGAGTGGGATAGTAAACTCCAGTTAAAAACTTACACTATTTATTTAAACATTATACACCCCCAAGTAATATCACAATACTCTACCACATCTACTTTATGTTTTAACTCTTGGACTCCACATAGGTAGGAGACGAGATTTACATAAAGTACTAGCAATCAGTGATAGTCTACGATCTCATAATTAATTGAACCGGTCAGTACAGTAACAAGCTAGCTTCATGCTGGTCCAAGTGGTTGGACACAATTTCTTCTATCCTGTCCTAATATCCCGTCCAGGTACTATATAGTCATATTGGCTTAGTGCTTTCTCCTGATAATTACCTTGCCATGTTCCTTGCAACATCACAACAGGAGAAAGTGAGTCTTAAAGTGGTGGGTGCCAAGGGAACTTTCTTTAAGTAGTACACCACCCATGTCAGCAACAGGCATGTGTCTAGATCGAGAGACCCTCTGTATTGCAGGGTGTATTCCCTTTGTTCCCTACTGTGACACACAACTAATAATTCCTCATGTCCTTACGTATAATTTGGGTACCTGGTTTCTATCCATGTCCCCTTGTTCATGTATCCCCTTTAACAAAACTATTCTGTCCTTGTCTGTTCTGTAACTTGCTCTGAGAATTTGTTTTACCTGAGGGCCACTAGTACTAGTGGCCTCGACAAGGACAGGAAGCTGGTGGCTTGTCAAAGGTCCCCCCCCCCCTCATTTACCCTGATCTTTTCTAGCTATATTTTACATTTTTCAAGCTGTACTTTAAATTTTGAAATCATGTCTCTCCTAACTTTTCTGACTTCATGTGACATAATGTTTATTTTCTTTAATCTTTCCTCATTACTCATCCAGATGGGGGGGGGAGGGGAGGTTGGTCATTGATTCCAAATTATTCAACCGTGTTCACCCAGCAGTAATTATACCTGAATTTACCAGAGGAGCAGCCATTTCTATGGATGGGGTCATGAATTTGGTAGCTTGTCAAAGGTCCCTCCAATTTTTCTGATGATTTTATGCAGCTGGATTTTGAATTGCATTGATGTCTTGGCATTTATGGCTTTGGCAGGTAGTCAATTCCAGTACAGTAGTTTATAACCTCATGGGCGGTGAAGCATCTTCTGTTTTCTGTCCTTTGATGTGGCTTGCGGACCTTGAAGCTTTTGCCCCTTGTATGTGTTATATTTGACCTTTTAAAGAAGTTGTCTGGTTTATTTAGGATTATTAAAATGCTAGGATGATCTATAGATCTGTATAAGGATTGATTTCTAAATATTTCTCGGGAGTGCTTGTGTTTTGTTACCTTTTCAGTGTTGTGGGTAGTTTGTCTCAAGTTAATTTATCATTTTCACATGCTCATCCACCCCTCTGAGGAAGTAAGACACAACCTTTAGAATTACTTCCCTCTGAGGAAGTAAGAATGATTCAGGGCAATGGTGGGCAGGGAAGGGAAGGGAACTATCAGGAGAGTGTAAAGTGTCAAGTCATTACAACTATATAGCACTGGGAAGGGATAAGGATTTGGGACGGAGCAGGGGGAAGGAATGGTGGCCAACCACTTGGACGGTCGGGGATTGAACGCCGACCTGCATGAGGAGAGACTATCGTCCAGCCCAAGTGGTTGGGCTATGGTGGGCAGGGGAAGGTCGCAGGAGCCTGGCATGTTGGGTACGGCCCTTACAGTATCATAAACTGAGGGGGGGATCTACTGAGGACCACCCAGGAAAAAGTTGCTTTATTACACTCATTGCTTTATTTTAAGTGTTCTGTGATATGTCTGGCTGGTTTTATCCCCTCTTGATTGCCTTTGGATGAAAACCTACATAATTGTCTTTTGTGTGCTTTGTGTCAAAAACTGTGAGGTTTGCATTCATATACAGATGACCCTTCACAAATGCATGCATAAAGAGGCTAACTTGCAATCATTTTTTTTTATCTCTCATCAATGAAAAAAAATTACATTTTCAGCATCATAAATTAAATGTATACGTATACTGTATATGTATATATATTATTTTTTTGCAGGGCCATAGGACAAAAATGATGCAGTAACCAGAGACAGGCAGTGGAGCTGAACATGACTATGGGAACTATAAATATTTTCTGCCCATGGGAGGACAGTTGTCCGGAGCCACTTCTGGACACGTGTGGAAAATTTGTTATCACGCATCCCGAGACCTTTTGTGTACTGCACCAAGAGACAGGCTTGTGGTACCTCAGACCAGGTGTTGCTCTCCCAACAGAAATATGTGAAAAGTTGATAAGTTTGTGGCAAGATAGAGATCCCGAGTTACTGGATGATAAGTTCATAAATATATTCCGAGACTTGACTAATACGAGGTTAAAACGTATCACCCTAAGAAACTCTGGAGTATCTGATGATGGACTGAATCTCTTACTGTCTCATAATTTAGTAGAGCTAGATATTAGTAATTGCAGTAAACTCACAGAAAGAACATTAGAAAATATAAATAGAATTGGTGACAGTCTAACAGCTTTAGTGATTGGAAAAACAAAAGAGATTCTACCAGACTCTGTGTTTTCAATCTCACAACCAGAGTCCAGTGACAGCTCAGACTCCAGTCCTGTTAGTGAGATCAAACAAAGGGGTTACATCTTGCGGACACCGAACTTGAAAAAGCTGGTCGTCCGAGAGCTATACCACCCGAAAGAACCGGAATATTTTGCTCTCCTGCTGAAGCCACTTACGAAGCTCACTCATCTGGACTTGTCTGGCTGCTTCTTCCTTCATGATGTGTCGTATATCCTGCCCATGAAGTATCTAGTCTCCATTAACCTGCATAGTGTCCAGAGGATACAAGATGCAATCCCAGCAATCTCGGAAATGAAAACAATTAAGTCAGTATGCGTTTGAATTGTGTTCTTTATTAATGTTTTATCTCGTAATAAATTTCATTAGAATAAAGCTAAATCACTGTCTAATTGATAAACAGTAAGTTAATAACAATTTCATATCTAAATACTGTACAGGAATGTAGTGTATTTGCCATTGACCTAATGTTGAAGAATTAATATTTAGTACTTCGTATGGAAGTTATTAGCCAAAGAACATTCAAATACCGTACTTCATTGTGTTTTACTATATTACACTGTACATAACCCTCAATAGATAGTTATCATCCAAGCAGTCGCCTCACCTGTGTGAAAATAAAATATACATATATCTCACATACATACACAATATATAAATATATATAGTATACATAAGCTTTCTGTCAATGAACTATTTGTGCTGCCATTTGTTTTGTAATGTACAGTATTGGACTGTAATTTAAATGTCAGTACAGTATTGTACTGCAATTTAAACCTCAAAATTATAATTTGATGTGGTTATTGAACATGTTGACCAGACCACACACTAGAAGGTGAAGGGACGACGACGTTTCGGTCCGTCCTGGATCATTCTCAAGTCGATTGTTGATTGATTATTAAACACTTAATGTTTTCCTCTTCCTTTTCTTTCTTTCTTTTTCTTTTTCTTTTTTTTTTTTTAGATTTCTTGATGTTTCTCAAGCCAACCAGAAGTATGGGATGTTCGAGTCACCCGACAGTGTTCTGGCCAAGCTGGTGTTGAGTCTACCGAACCTCACCAGTCTTGACATTTCTGGCACTAATTTATCGGGGGATGGTACTTTCGATGAATACAGGGACGCGGAAGAAAAGGTAATGTAGAATTCTACAGGGCATGTAGCTAAGTGATTCTTGTATTTAAGTTGAATGCTAATTTGCATTTTCTGTAATAACTTTTAATTTAATGTGCAAGGTAGTCTGTGACTGTAGTTGGATTGTTGACTTGTAAATAAATGGTAGACATAATTAAAATGGCTGTAACTGATTTTGCTTGAAATTGTCATACAATTGTATCTTTCGTTGTACAACATATATTCTTGTATAATCGTAAAGGTAGTCAGACCATGTTATGGGAAGGTCCCACTTCGGTAGCCCCCCGAGCTAAGTGCTGGTCATGCCAAGCCTTAAGGAGATGGACTAAGGAGTTCATCTCCTTAGATGAATTAAGAAGAAGAACTAAGCCTGTGAGACCTATTCTTGCCTAACGGGAGCCAACCTTGGTCTCACTTTTGTCATCACATAGAGCAGCATTCCTCAACCTTTCTGGGGGGAGCCCCGTCGGCTCCCCGGAGCTATCCCAGGCTGATATGCTAATGTCAGACTTTGGCATCAGTCATGTGTATGGAGTTCTTAGGCCTACCGGGGACCACGGCCAGAACCGGGCCCCCTCAGAGAGGCAAGGGGAGCAATGGCCTATAGAAGCCCCTGTGTAGTTGGAAGCATTCTATGTCTGCCATCGACCGGAACAGGCACCCAGAAAGGTAAGCGCCCCAAAACAAACCCCTATTCTGGTTAAAATTGCTACCTAAAACCGAACTAGTGGATAGAACTCCCCAACCGAAAACAAGCAAACTAGTGTGACGTCACACACTGCCGCGCCGCTGTCTGCGCAGCTCCCCCCTCCCCGGGAGGGGGAAGGGGGAGCCCCAGACCCCCCGCGCCGGCTACCCACACCTCGGTTCTTGAGGCTGATGCTATAGGCGATGGTCGTGTGCTCTGGCTCCGGTGTCGCTACTGCACTGTGCTTTGCGTGTGGTGTTAGTTTTGTGGGTGCGAGAGCCAGGAGTTATCTTCAGTACTCGGGCTGCATGCGCCTAGGGCTGCCTTCCCTAGGTGCCCTGTAAGTACTGCCCTTGGGGCTTGGGGCCACCTTCCACAGGCTCCTCGGGGTCTGCCTCTGCTGGTCCGTTTTACCTTTCGGTTTTTCGGCCGCCTGTTGGGCTCTTGGGTGTTCTGTTCTCCCTTGTTACCGGCAGGTAAGAGGCAGTTTGCACTGGTAGGGGCGCAGGGTGCTGCTCAGCTTGTATTTCCCGACATCGCGGCCGGCTCTGTTCCTTGGGGTTCGCTGTCCTCTTGCGGGGTTTTGTTTTTCTTTTTGTTTTTGCCTGGTGGGGGGTTCTGTCCTTTTATTCAGTTTGTTTTTGCCCTTCCACTGTTCTCCTCGGTGGCGCCCCCTGCTAGGTCCCCGTGAGTGTACACGTCCCTGGGGTTCAGCTTTAGAAGTTTGCTTGGTAGTTTTGGGCGCCGGTTTGCAGCACCCTGCCTGGGACTACCTGAGCGCGAGTCCTCTTAAAGTAAACGCTCAGGACCCTGGGAATCCCCTAGGGGGCGCGTGGGTCCGATGGATGTGACCCCGGAGTCCCCACTCGCTGTGTGCGAGTTTGAGGGTTGCTCGGTCCCCTTGTCTCAGGGTGACCCTCATTGTTTTTGCCTCTGCCACGCTGCCTGTTGGGTCGGTGATACTTTCGACCCTGAGTCCTGTGAGTGTTGCTGCTTGCTTGTGACTCAATTTACCCAATCCTCTGATGATTCTATTCGGGTACGGGCGGCACGTGCGTTGCAGTCTAGGTTTCGTCTGTTGCAACGCGCTCGGTTGGTTGCTTCCCCGGATGCCCCGGGGCTGCCCCGCTTTGCTTTTCGAGACCCGGACTTGGGGGTGGGGGTCGCTTCGATCCTGGTTCAGTCCGCACCTCCTCGTCCTTCCCCTTCTGTTCGTTCTTTTTCTGTCTGTGGGTAGTTAGCTCCGGGGAGCCGACGGGGCTCCCCCCAGAAAACCAGCGTTGAATGTAATGAAACGCCATTTTCTGGGTGAGTCCCGGAGGCTCCCCGGCATCCCTCCCTCCCTCCGGTCGGCGGTTTTTCGCGTTTTTGACATCCAGCCTCAAGAACTGAGGTGTGGGTAGCCGGCGCGGGGGGTCTGGGGCTCCCCCTTCCCCCTCCCGGGGAGGGGGGAGCTGCGCAGACAGCGGCGCGGCAGTGTGTGACGTCACACTAGTTTGCTTGTTTTCGGTTGGGGAGTTCTATCCACTAGTTCGGTTTTAGGTAGCAATTTTAACCAGAATAGGGGTTTGTTTTGGGGCGCTTACCTTTCTGGGTGCCTGTTCCGGTCGATGGCAGACATAGAATGCTTCCAACTACACAGGGGCTTCTATAGGCCATTGCTCCCCTTGCCTCTCTGAGGGGGCCCGGTTCTGGCCGTGGTCCCCGGTAGGCCTAAGAACTCCATACACATGACTGATGCCAAAGTCTGACATTAGCATATCAGCCTGGGATAGCTCCGGGGAGCCTCCGGGACTCACCCAGAAAATGGCGTTTCATTACATTCAACGCTGGTTTTTTGCTCTTGTGCAACTGTTGAAATAATTTTTATACCTCAAGAACCCCCTGCATGAAAAAATTATTACAGTATTATTATTGTTATTAGTATTATTATTATATATATAAATTTCAAAAATATTTATTTATTAATCATATCAAATCAACCATACCTGTAAACACCAAAAATGAACATTGACAATGTTCCTGTGGTACTCTTGGGGTTCCACAGAAACCCGGTTGAGAAATGCTGAGAAAGAGCATATGCAAAATGTTTTAAAACTTGAATTTCTTGCATATCTAATTAGCATTACACTCCAACACCAAGAAATTATTCATTGCTCCATACTACTTTAGTCATTATGATGGCATACTATTTTAACTGCTGCTCTTATTTCTTTTCACTTGTGTTATGATATTTATGTCATTCTTAAATTCAGCACTTCCAGCTTCTTTTGTTTCTCTCATGTATTATTTGAACCCTTTTGCTTACCTTTAAAACCATTCTTGTTTTTTCTGGAGCCAAGCCAAACAACACTTGTGAAAGATAGTTTGATTTAGTAGAGGTTATACTGTATTTAGATGCTCTGTATATTTATATCTATTACATTTTTGTTTTTTTTGTACAAATAAAACAACTACTACAGTTATAAATGGTTGTCTAAAATTCAATACTTTTGAGGAAAAATGTTAAACAAATCCACAAGGGCCGTGACGAGGATTCGAACCTACGTCCGAGATCATCCCAGCCCCTTGTGGATTTGTTCATTCACGCTATTGTGATTTCTGTGTATAAAAATATGTTGTTGTTTCTGGGCGCTATGTACAGTATGTCTGTTCTCCAACTTAATGATACTGTACATGTTAACATTGCAGGAGAGCCGAGTTGGAGATATGGAAACAGACCTGTGTGACATCCCAGGGCTAAAAAGTCGGATTCATAACCCATTGGAGTTTCTTGGCCTGTATAACACACTTCACGATGCCTGCCACAGAAATCACATCCCTGCCAAAGTGGTGAGATAACTTACTTGATTAATCAGAAAGAATTATGCATTTGCTGCATTATAAGGCTTGGATATGAGGCCTGTACCTGCCCAGGAGTATTGAGAAGAGTATTGAATGGTGCTGTGTAAGATAAGATTAAGGTGCTGAATGGGTGATCATACCATACTATGATTGATGAGGTAAGAGAACAAAATGGGACACGTTGAGAGGACTGGTTGATGAGTACAAAAGAAGAGTTGTAAGTCATCTTGTAGAAAGAGACCGTGAACAAAATTAACTTTGGTGCCATGTGGAATATATAAAATAAATGTTTTATAAAGAATGCCATGGAAGTGATGCAGAGTTGCACAAACTCGTAGAACAGTGAGAAGAAGTGCATGCTTGGATGCAACCTATCCTCCTGTTTAGATAGTCCTTTTTGTAACAATATGCACCATAGTACAAACATTGACATCATTGACATAATAAGCAATTAGGTAGGATAACTTTGCAGACAATGAGTCACAACAACGTGGCTGAAGATATGAAGACTAAGCCATACACCAGAAAATGAGGAGACGATGACATTTCAATCCGTCCTGGACCATGATCAAGTCGATTGTGATAGTGGTCCACAATCAACTTGATAATGGTCCACTATCACCTTGATAATTGTCCAAGACAGACCAAAATGTTGTCGTATCCTCATTTTCTTGTGTGTGGTTTAGCCTTCATATATACCTTGTTTTAACTTGCCTTAAATATGTGATATAAGTTACAGGAGCAGTGATTTAAATTTTACACTTTTGTAGCTAACATTGAAATATCCGTGTGTTTATCTGATGACTATGTAATATACTGCTGGTGTAAGCTTACGGTATACATTTTCTACAATAGGCAAACTTGTTAGTACAGTATTTTGTAACCAAGTCGTTACCTGGTTAGTATTTTGGGTAATACTGTGTGTCATCCCAGGTAAAATACATTGACATTTCTTGAACATGGTAATAGAGTTGTCTCTGAACTTGAGGAATTTTTTTTGTATTCCTAGTGACAAAAGCCTACATTTGATTAGATCTACATCAGTAGGTGGTGCATACACTCCCAGAGGTATTTGTAGCCACGCTTAAGCCTAGCAGTAGTAATGTTTAAAAATATGCTGTCTGTACTGGATGATCCATAGATATGTAGCTCTAGCTACATAGTTTGCAGCTAGTACCATCATGTCTGATGGATGAGCTGGTGTAGATTTCACTTCATGTCAGGCGTATTAAGTTTTGTTGGAGTTCTTTGTATATTACTGTCCTTGTGCTGCTCATTGGCAATCCAATGAGCAGCACAAGGTGATAAGCAGCTTCTTCTTTAAGAGCATATGTTGTGGGTTAACTTACCAGTTCTATCTTGCACTTTGTAGCCATCCCACACAATCTGGGATGGAAACTGAGTTATCCTTATTCAGACAAGCTAATTTGTGTTTCCTCCCAGATCACTGGTGATGCAAGTGAAGAGCAGATCTTGGCAGCCACTGCTGCTTACCTTGACAGACCAGAAGTGCTTGTTAAGGCCTTAAATGAACTTTTCCATATCTTCCGGTTTGAGACGTGTCATGATCAACAAAGGGCTCTTAATTTAATATTACTCTCAATGTTAAGACACCGCAGGGAAAAACACATCCAAATATCTGGAAGGTATAATAAAGAGGATTAATATATTTAAGTTCTCATTGTTTGAATATACTATATATTAGTTTAAATATTATTTTTTAAAATCTTATACATATGCAATATATGAAGTACAAAAATATTTGGCATTATTTTGATAATGAAGTTTTGTATGTTTTCTTTCACCGAAAAGTGCATCGCTATTCTACATTGCAAAGGGAGAAGATAAAAATAGTTTGAGTGTGAGAGCGAGACAGAAGATGATAATAGTCTTACTAGATGCAATGGAGACGCACCTTGATGATTCAACTATGATGCGTAATGGCTGCCTCACGCTCTGCCAGTTCAGAATACCTCAGGATGTGGTAAGTGCATAGTGAATCGGCTGGAGTGGAGGCATTTTGAATCGCTATTTAAAAGCGATTCGAAAGTTCGGAAGCGTATCCCCCAAAAGTGGTCCAGAACCACCTCTAGATCTCTTTCTTTATCAGAATTCTTCAAAACCTTTTCACATAAGTTTGTAGGTTGTGTGTGTGGCCTATTATCTCCTATTCCACATTATATAATGTGTGTTTTGTTTATTTAACTATGTAATTACCTTTGTGTAGTTTCAGGACAAGAGCTTTGCTCATTGTATGTTATCTTCTTTTTAATCTGCCATATGAGGTGTTGAAGCTTTAATTGACTTCGACATTTACTAGCCTCTCGTATAAATTACTGTATTTCAACAGTCCAAAACTCTATTTGCAAAAGAGAACTTTTGTTTATTTTTGGCCTTACATTCTTGAAGTTGGAGGTCTCAAAAATTTAGCTTTGTCAATTTTTATCAATTTTAGAAAGTTAGAGTGCAGAAGCACAATGAGTCAGTTGGAGACTCCAGATAATGGAGAGTTTATTGTATTTTAAAGCAAAATGTTGAAGACCTTAACACTTTCACGCTCTCGGCGCTCAAAAAAAAACAATACCCCAGATGCTTTCGGCACTTTGCGCGCCTACGCGGTAAGACCGAAAAAGTGTACACTCTTTTGACTGTCCTGACAATAATTGAAGGCGCACGTATTTAAATTTGGTATCACTGTGTTCGCAATGAAATTGTCTATAAGAGCATACCTATAAAATGCCGCCCAAGCATAAGGAGTATCAACACCAAATAAAAAACTATGCAGATCACTCGCCGAGAGCGCCAAACAGCAACAAAATGTTTCCACTCTCTTAATGGTTGCGAAGCCTACAGTTGTCCTACATCGCTAATTTTGGTATCATTGGAATCGCAATAAAATTCTCTACACGGACATATGCATATGAATGTTTAATATAGGTAATTGCCCACCCGCAAGAGTGTGTGAAGTGGAGAGTAGTTAGCCGCGAGCGCACTGGCGAAAACACAGGGGGGGAAATCATGCTTGGAAAGTTTATACATTTATACGTTTCCTGACCCTACTTTTCTATGTACGTATTTCTTTTTTATACCAATGTGTTCGCAATAAAATTTTCTATAAGATGAAATGTATAACAATTGTACAAAGCATGTGTAAGAGAAGCGCCAAATATAGAACCACGTCGCTCAGTATGCGTTCGCGGCAGAAACGAACGCATTGTTTTCGTTCGTTTGATGTTTGTCATGTTTATACTTGTTGAAACATTTTATAATTTGTATGACAGTGATCGCAGTAAAATTCCCTACACAGACATATACATAACACATACAAATATTTCCCACGTGTTGGATATATCAACGGCTAAAGGGAACCCACTGCCACACGCCCGCCACACCCAGAGCCACACCCGCCACACCCCCAAACATACTTTGTGTTTTTTTTTTTTTTACTCATAGAAGTTTGTGATATAATATTCATTCTGGTACCAAAAAATTCGCAAATAAATTCTCTACAAAACGTATATAATATAACTTCTTATAGATGATAAAAAATTCCAAATAGGTGTACTTACCCTGTCTATGTTGATTGAAGATCAACAGTTGAGCATTTTTTCTTCACTCCACCATCTTCAGGCTTCTGATCCTGAAGTTGCTCATCTGATGTTTCTTAGGTGGAGTGAAGCTGTTGCCGGTGGTTATTTTTTCTCCACCCAAAATATCTTTCTTCGGTGGTACCTTGTGTAGCAAGGCGCAGCGCACAGTGCCACATCACAAGTTTTACATCCATATATCACGTCCCTCCTTTTGCCAGACTTGAAACAAACACGGCATCTTTTTTTAGCCAAGTGCACGAGTTCATGCGTCAACTTGTAGTTGAGACATTGTTCTGAATCTATAATTCTTCTATTTCTTGGATGCACTGGAGGAATATTGTCTTCTACAGGAACCACCAAACTTGTAGTAGAATCTTCTATGAAATCAGAAATATCAAGTGGTTCTATGTCCTCAATGTCCATTTCAGAATTTGTGGTTGATGAGTGGGCTTGAGGTGTTGAGGTGAACAGAGGACGCCTCGCACCAGATGGGCCGGGTGTTGAAACTGCCGCGTCAGCAGGAGGAGCTGCGCTGGCATCTATGTCGGGAACATGTGGTATGCTTGTTGTTGTTGGTCATTCCTCGCTGTTCCACGCCAATAAGGCTTTTATTCCTACTGCGTGAAACTCTAATAGTGTTAGTTTTTTTGTATCTGTTGAGTAGTGGTTATACAATGCGTATGCATTGTGCATGGCCATTTGCAGAAAATAGAAAGTGATCTTCTTGGTCCATTTGCGGGTTTTTCTTGCAAACTCATAATATTTGACCATTTGATCAAAATGATCAACACCTTTCATGAACTTATTGTAATCCACAATGGCCTTTGGTTTGTTCATTTTCACAATTTCTACTCCAGTTCTCCTGTCACGTTTACGAACGCGTTTCCTGCGCTGTGCTTGAGTAGTGTCGGCATTGTGAATATTGGTGATGACAGAGACGGGTGCTTGTCCTTCCAAACTATAACATGATTTCTATTTCCATGAAAACTCCATGAATGAAACTCCATGAAAACTATTTCATGGAGAAAAATCTGAGAGTATCCCCATCCATTTCGGTTAGAAAATGGAATTTATAGAAATATTTTTTCGATGGACTACAAAAGTAGTCTGTTATGCGGAATCGTAAGAAAAAACGGTGACGAGCTATCTCTAATCTAAAGCGAGAAAGTGTTAAGACATCTCACTACAATTTATTTTTGTCAATATTTTATTACTTTTTTTTCCACACTTTTTATATTTCACAAAGTGAGTTTGCTACTTCTAATGTTTAGTTTCATTTTTTACTGTACAGTACTTAAGTTTTCAGAATTCTGCTGTAACTTCTGGACATTGGTAAGCTCTTATAAGTAGTGGTAAGTAATATGTAAAATGTTGCTTCTGTTATTATTCTAAAGAACTTGCTTTTTCAAATACAATTTTGTAGCCGATGTCACATTTTCAGCTATTCGAGTACCGCCGTTTGGTTCAGCTATTGCTACGTTTAATCCGAGGCCGAGGCGACGGAGATGATTTTGTTCGCCGTATTGCCATCTACCTCTTGAATTCCCTAGCATGCCAGGTTGATGGAGAGCAGAAAGAGCTGGTTGGAGATCTTGGTGCTATTGAGGTTAGTGATGCTAAGCATATCTCCTGCAATCATCCAGATTTTCAGCTTGTTTTTGTAAATTTGTTACAATATACAGCTATATCACATTTTGTGATGAGCTTAATAGATAGTGCTAAATAGTCTTCCCATCTCGATGCCTTCTTTTCATTAATAGATAGTGCTAAATAGTCTTCCCATCTCGATGCCTTCTTTTCATTAATAGATAGTGCTTAATAGTCTTCCCATCTCGATGCCTTCTTTTCATTATTTTCATTAGTGAAGTATTTTGAAAAATAAAAATGTGAATGGATATACAGTATATAAGGTGTTGCAAAAGAGCTTGGGAAATACTTCGATGTGACTGTTTGAGCTACTGACAATTTACTCTGATCAACAGACAATGTTGAAGCTGATAAGTGACAGGTTGCAGCGTCACATGCACGATGATATGCTGGAGATTGCTTGGTCAGCCATGTGGAACGTAACCGACGAAACGCCTGTTAACTGTTTACGATTTTTAGATGGCCAGGGCATGACCTATTTCCAAAAGTGTCTTAAGGTAAGTTTGCTTGAACTTTTAATTACTTTGCATTTGTCATTAAATATTATTTAATATTTCATTCATTATTGTTAGTGTACTTCACCATGAAAGGTTAATTTAGTAGCAACAGAGCATATGGAAAACAACAGACATACAACAGGTGAATTTTCTGGGATGTGCAGAAAATTTGTGGCCTTTACCTTTAAATAATAAATCAATTAAAAACAAAGCCCTTTATATGCATGGTCTATGAACCATCCTCAGAAAAACAACATCAGCAGGTCCTCCAAGACAAAAGAAATATGGCTGAGCGTCATAAATTTTCTCAGAAATTGTTCTTACATTTATTGTAAAAATCAAGCTTTGAATGTAATGAATGCCTTTACCTGGTGAGCTGCTCAGTGTCTACCTGTAGCTGTAGCACTGGGGCTGCCAAGCCCCTGGGAATCTCACTAAGCCTATGAGACCTACTAATGGGAACCAGAACAAAAATCTGGCTGAATCAAGCCACATTCATTCAAATAAAAAATAAAAAATCAAGCCCTAAAAAGTACTTGCCATAAAGAAAACAATTATTCAACTTGGAAAATAGTCCAGCCCTGATGTACCTGGTTACCATCATTTGGCAGCCCAAATCTGCAGAGTCCCCTGTCTGCCAATCACCACATTCATTCACATCTCTGATGGGTCTGCTTTCAGCTTTACACTTTCAGATAAGTTGTGTTGGCTATCCCCGGAACTTTTTTTTCTTCTGGGGCCATTGCTTTGTTTTTGTTCCATTTCGTACTTCTAGTGTGTTCTGTGCCATCTGCCTTGCATGTGTTCTGTTAACATTTTAGTAAAGGGTCAGGGTTGTCTTCCTGGTCCCGCCAGATAAGGGTTTGTGTTTCATCCTTGTTTCTGGGTAGTGTGTGAGTTTACTTCCTACTGTCAATTCTATTGATGGGGAGTGATAATAGTTAGGTGTATGGTTTTGTGACTATCATTTGTGGCTGTGCCTCCCGAGTGGTCACTCCCTGTGCTTTAACCAAGGGTGTGCTGTGATTGTATAGAAGTTTCTTCTTGTTCAGTGGCTGTGTTCCCTCAGCAAATGGTTCAGGTAAAGGATAAGTGTTTGATGACCTGAGACATTTTCCCAGGGCCTGGCCCTACCTGTTTGCAGATGGTCCTGGTGGCCAGTTCCCCAACTCACCCCTGGGACCTGGGGTTTTGTCGGGTTGTGTTTGAGTGAGCTTTTACGGCTCCTTCTGGATGTCTTCTGGACAGATCCTGGCTATTGACTCAAGAAGTAACTGAGGGACATTCAGATAAGAGTTTAAATTCTCTAAATTCCTTACTTTTTCTCTAGGCTCATACTTCCACATTTCATGAAAAGAGGAACTGGGGCAATGATGGTGATTTATTATTATTACCTGTAATCACACTTAAACGTTTACAACCTAATGCATACCTTACATATTTTGCACAGGAGTTTCCTGATAAACCAGAGTTGCTGAGGAATATGATGGGTTTGTTGGGTAATGTGGCCGAAGTGAAGAGCCTCAGAGCACGCCTTATGACCTCAGAACTTCTTACGACCTTTGCTGACCTCTTAGATTCAAACTCGGATGGAATTGAGGTAAGATCACATGCACAGTATTGACAAAGTTAACATGCCTTAGTATAAGTTAGTACTGTACCTAGTCTTATGAAATTGTAGATCCCAAAAATTGTTTTATCACTGCATGCAGTTTTTTTGCTATGGTTCTCAAGTTGGGAAATATGGAAACTCTTGAAACCAACTACTGTACAGGTAAACTACAGGTAATCCTCTAAATTCAAAAGGTGTTTTTTTCTTGGTTTGTGTGTGTGGCACAAATGTTAGTGCTATTGACATGGCAGGCATATGCATGTTTATAAATTCCCACGTATAAGTTTCAGCATTTTTCATTTTTGTTTATACTGCTCACTAATTCCAGCCTCAGTTACTCGAATCTCCAGGTAACTTGGCCAAAATCCCAACTGAGTTCGACTTTCTCTTGATTCAGACAAAATCTAAATTAGGGAGCAAAATGTTCGAGTTATTTACGAATGTGTGGGAGGCAGTTTTACAAACATGCAAGTAAATTGAAACAAAGTATTAATGACATGTACAGAAATTCAGTAAAATATTGTAATAAACAATTATTGATAGAAGTTCCACATTTCCCTGCCTAAATAACTGGACCCGTCCCAACCCTGTGCACTAGTCATGTTTTTGCCCTCTCGTGTGATACAACAAGGAGACATTCCATATCTAAAGAATTTCTTTGCTTAAATTGCGCATGTAAATGTTTTACAACCTTAATGTCTTTATTTCAAAGGTGTACAGTACATGTTTCTGTAGTGAAAAGTACAGTTCAGTATTCTAAGCTGAGGTGATTAAAACAACTTTGAACTTCACCAAGGGAGGTTAAAATTTATTTTAATTAATTGTATATGTTTATATGAAAAAGCTGTCATAAGTTATTGTTGTTTACGATGAGTCACAACAACGTGGCTGAAGATGTGAAGACTAAACCACACATCAGAAGATGAGGTGACGACGACATTTTGGTCCGTCCTGGACCATTATCAAGTTGATTATCTTGATAATCATTATCCAGGACGTGTAATGGTCCATCCTGGACTATTATCAAGACTACGATAAAACGTTGTCGTCATCTCACCGACATCTCATCTTCTGGTGTATGGTTACGATGAAACGTCGTCGTCATCTCATCTTTTGGTGTGTGGTTACGATGAAACGTCGTCGTCATCTCATCTTCTGGTGTGTGGTTAAGTCTCCAGTTGTTGTTATGCGTCACGAAGGGGTGGTAGACAGGGAGAGGTGTGTAACGAGGGTGACATGCTCTGGCCACACTGGGGTTTTGTCACTTATCACTTACAATTTTGAAGGCATTTTCTTGCATTCTTTCACAAGAATGTTTTTTATTATCTACTTAAATTGTGTTTTGACTTCTTGTAAGATAAACAGCAAATGTTTTTATTGCAAGAGTTAGTAAAGAGAAGTGGATCCCTTTATGAATGTACTGTTATTAAATTATGAAATGGTAGGCATATGGACAGTTATAGATGATGAGAATGTAATAGCTTTAACAGGCATACTGAGAGCAGTAAATTATTATAATTTTGTTCTTCCTCAGAATGAATTATGGTTTTTCATGAGTTCCAAAGATGAAATTGTTGCTGAATTTTCTTTTTTAAATATCAGGTGAGTTACAATGCTGCTGGAGTATTGTCACACATTGCCAGTGGAGGAGCCGAGGCGTGGACTATCGATCGCCCAACAAGAAATGAGGTGCTGGAAAGAATGGTGGCAGCAATAGAACGATGGGATTTAGCATCAAAGCGAAATATCAATTACAGGTCGGTCTTGTTCTGTGAATGTATTGTATTTCTGTACTGTATCTCCAGTCCTAGAAAGTGTGTTTAGAATGTTAAGGCTTATGTTATACCCTTACACCATAAGGGTATGGTAACTATACTAATATTGTCAGGAATGTAGTTTTAAAAATTTTCATAGATGGGTGCAGTATTTTGAAAAACAGTTGGTGACGTGGGAAATTGATTAATGACTGTGCGAACATCATCACTATGCCAAAGTGTTAAGCACAATTAAAACAAAATTAGCTTTCATCTTAATTTTGAGCATGACTTGAAATATCTGGAAAATTTGGTGATAAATATGACACACACACAACAATGGATACAAATAAGATAAGTTTAGATATTATATATATAATAATAAGCCCAAGGGAGCCGGTCAGCCGAGCGGACAGCACACTGGCTTGTGATCCTGTGGTCCCGGGTTCGATTCCGGGTGCCGGCGAGAAACAATGGGCAGAGTTTCTTTCACCCTATGCCCCTGTTACCTAGCAGTAAAATAGGTACCTGGGTGTTAGTCAGCTGTCACGGGCTGCTTCCTGGGGGTGGAGGCCTTGTCGAGGACCGGGCCGCGGGGACACTAAAAAGCTTCGAAATAATCTCAAGATAACCTCAAGATATATATATTGATTTGGATTTAAGGGTGTAGATTTATGCAATAAACTACTGGGTAACATAATGGATATGGGATCACTAGGACAGTTTGAAGCATGGGTAAGACATAGGACTGAATGTTTGGGTATAAATTGGAACGATTTTACATCGGCTAATAGACCTTCAGCAGTGTCCTCTATTCTTGTGTTCTTTTTTATTTGTACCATTTACCTTCCCTCTTTTCTTACCAAGTGGGTAAGGGGGAGGAGGTACAGACAGACAAGAAAAGAGGGGACGTACAGACAATCTACTCATTCCACTTATTTTCCAAAATAATTTATCATGACTTTATCATCTTCTATGTGTTTTATATTTACACTCGTCTATCTGCCCTCTTACAGGTCCTTTGAGCCCATACTACGACTCCTGGAAGTGTATCATACACCCCAGTGTCAACATTGGGCAGCGTGGGCACTCGCAAATCTCACACGAGTATACCGTGAGTCACTCCTGCTTGCCTTTTGTTTTGGTCTGTAAAGTTGCAGCTCAAGCATAAAACAATTCACTTCTATTCAGCCGGATATATTTTGTTGTATTTAGTTGATTAGTTATATGTAGTTTATTAAATGGTTAGATATGATGTGATAGTAATTTGTCAAAATTGGATCAGCTTGTAATTGGGAATTGACGAACATATCAGATAAAATCTTAAGAAAAATATGAATGTTTTAGTGTTTCTCAAGCATAAATCAACTTCAGTCAATCCGTACTTGTGCAGAGGGAACTAAACTTTTTATAGGGAATTAGCCTGATGTTCTAGAGATCTCCAAATGTTAAACAAATATTATGTCCATAAAACAATGACATGAGCATTAATATTAAATTTTTTTCTCTCTTTCAGCCCCAACTACGGTACATAATAAAATGCAAAATATTAGGATTTTCCATGATATTGAAATGTAATTCAAAGAAATGCATAAAACACACTCTTTGTGAAGTCGTATGGTCAGAGCATTGCATTTGTATGTCATGTACCAAAAAAACTTGGTTGCATAAATGTCATGCTTTCCTAGCTCTTGTCTTCAGGGAATGAGAGTTAGCTCTTCAGTCCTGCCTAGCTTTAGTACAGGGTGTATTTATACCGGACATTGTGCACACCGCAGTTGTCTTCTACTGGGAAATTAATGATGAAAAAGCAGTACATTAAATACTAGAAAATTAGAGTTCGGATGTTGACCAGATCATACACTAGAAGGAGAAGGGACGACGATGTTTCGGTCCGTCCTGGGATCAAATGGTCCAGGACGGACCGAAACGTCGTCGTCCCTTCGCCTTCAAGTGTGTGGTCTGGTCAACATTCTTCAGCCACGTTATTGTGACTCATCGCCTGCATAGAGTTCGGATATTGTCAGTAAGATTTTGTTTGATCTTTTTATTTATTAAGATGGCTGACTTTCATTATTGTATATTAAAATATATATATATATTATTTCCACGTGTTAAATATATTCATTACTATGGGGTGACATCAGCTGCCATGGCCCTCACTGATGCTGTTGCATTTTGCTATCAGTGTAGTATTGTAGTCTATAATGAATTTTGTCTTTCTTACAGCTGACAAATATTGCTCTTTAGTTGAAGAGGAAGGAGGCATTCAGCTGCTAGAGGAATTACTCAAGTCTCCAGCTCCTTACCAGCGCATTAAGTCTCTTGCAGGAATTGTTATTACCCAGTGCCAACTATTTAAGGTCTGTATCATATCAATTTGATAACTATTTGTTACTTTTCTGAGGCTCATAACTATCTGCACTAGTTTCTGTACATTATTATTATTTTCTGGGGGAACCCCCTTGAGGCTGCCTGAAGCTACAGGGCCAAACTACTAGGTACAATCAGTTGTAAAAGTTCTTTTTCGGCCTACTGGGGACCATGAGCCAAAATCTCGCCCTCCTCTAAAACAGCATAGAGACATGGCACAATGATAAAATTGTCAGTGAAGTTTAATCATGTCTGCCACCACTGGAAAAGCACCCACAAAGTCAGCAAAACAAAACAGACCACTGCTGGTTATAAGGAAAGATCGGCACCTTAAAATTGCCAGTAGAACTCCCCCCAACAATGTAAACAGAGGATTGAAAATTTGTGAAACTTGCACAAGCTTGTTTGCGACTCCTCCCACCCTCATTTTGGAGGGAAGAGCGAGGCAGACCAAACTAGCCGGCTGCTCTACCCTGGGATACCATGTTTCTGCAACAGATATCCTGCTATTGTACGAAAAGATCAAGACTATCTAAGAGTTCTCTATAACTGGCACTCCTAAGAAGCTACAGGAATTTCTGAGTTTGGAAAGTTTTTACCACATTTATCTGACCCTGTTCTGACATATTAAAATCTTTGAGTGACCATGAAGAGAGATTTCACAGATTTACCCTCAGCAACCCAGCCATCCATCTACATGCCCAACCTACATACCCCAGGATAACTTCTCTGCTAACTATGTGTTTGTGAGGGTTGACACTGCATCAGCCAATTCAACACTTAAAAAGGGACCTTTCTGCTGAGAACTCCGAACTTCATCATAATCGATCATTGGGGTGCTCAAGGTGTTATTTTTATGGCTGGAGTGAAGACGGTGCATTTCAATGCCACTCCATCTCTGCATGCTCTTGCTGCGCACCCTGGATTTTTTTTTACCAAAGACAACAAACTACACCAGTGGACCCACTTCCTGTAAAAGTACCCACTGTTTTCTTTAAATCACACTACCATCGCCAGATGGAGATGTCAACATGAAACGTTACACAACCTGCAAGGGATGTAATGTTCACCTTCCTGTCCATTTATCGGTCTCTTGTTTACGGTGTCCTATGGAGAGGGAGGGAAAGTACAGTAATTTCTCGAGTCCTCCCCACTTCCCTGCAGTACATATGGAAGTGAAATGACTGATGAGCTGGTTCATGAACTCCTGGAGCTCATTTTGTGGTGTCATGTTTGCCTGGCATTCACTTTCTGTGGTTTCAAGCCACACTTAATCATGTAGTAAATAAAATTTTTTATGTATGTGGATACACTTTTTTTTTATATATACAGCTGGGCAATACTGGCAAATTGTATTAATGTTTGCATTTACCTTACAGGAATATGGTTCCCTCGAACATATGGATTTCGACTCAGACTTCTAATATTTGATAAGTATGAAAGATAGCTTGCAGAAGTAATTATGGTCCTCCAGCAGCAAGTTTATGTACGATACTTAATGTCCTTCATTTAGTAGTTAGCATGAAACTGGCAGTAGATGTTCTCGGGGAAATTTCAAAGAAATGTAAATAGCTGAAGTGAGTGCTGAACAGTGAGGATATCTTTTACACAACATAGTATTTTATGGGTGTCAAACTTTGGGGTGATGTCGGCTGACGTGCAGTTACAATTTTTTACCAAAATTTAGTTTTGGCCTTTCTATAACATAAATAATAATTAATATACAACTATATAATATATATATATATATATATATATATATATATATATATATATATAAATTTTTCTTCAGATTTTTAGTCTATGCAAAAGGGCATAGATAATATTTTTGGCACATAACTGAGCAGAGACTGTCTGTGCTGTAATTGGTAAAAATTTCTGAATCTAGACCTTGTTGCTCTTATTATTTTCATCATCATATCCTTCTATATAGCTGATGAGAGTAGTTACTGTAACAGTAAACCCTTGCTAGTTCCTACTAACTGTGGTGGTGAGACATTTGCAAAATTATTATATTCCAGCTGCCCTGAACCCCTGGCTTCTCATATAGTAGTCCCAAAGTCCAGATTGAGCCTTCAATATTTTCAGATGATGTATTTGTTTAAGTATAATACAGTATATATAGTGATAAGACAATTCATATTTGACTAATTTATCAATTGTATTAAATGCTTTCCATACAAATCAAATTATAAATTGGGGAGAAGTACATTATACCATTTGTAACAAAAATTGACCTGATGTTCTTCGGCCTTTCTAGAGTAATGCACTGAGTATGATTTCTTGTATTCCTTGGCTACTCCAACCAACTTGAAGGTGACCCAGCATATTGTAGGCTACAGCTATTATTATTATTTGACAGCCAAGTCAAGAGAGATACTGTTGATTCTTTATTTTTTTTTTTGTTTTTTAAGAAATGTCGCAGAAGTTATTGCTTGTAAAAGCGGCACTTGACTTACAAATGCCTTAATACTTGAGTTTTCAAGAAAAATTGTGTTGTTAGCATATGCCTAAGATTAATGAGAGTTTATCGAGTCCTTCATATAACAACATGCATTAAAGTTCTCATGCAGAAGAGTTGACTGGTATGAAATATTTTATATATATGATCCATTGGAAATCATAGGGCACACAGTTGATTGCTTCTGATCTAGGTTGTGTTGACGACTTATTGTTTTTTTTTAATGATTTAATATTCATTTTGTCCACTCTTATGTACCATTTTTTAGCTGTTGATATTGACCTAATAAAACACTTAAAGAATATGCAAAATAAATTTCCCACCAAATGATGTGAAAAGTAATTAACAATACTGTACTGTAAATGCATAATTTATGCAAGATTCAAGGAAATGTTCAGTGTATGTTCAGTGTGTGTGCAGGTGAATGTATATGTGTACTTGTACATACCTGTACTGTATATACATACAGTACATACATATACATATGTGCATATATACACATGCAAATAAATATGTATATACATGGCTAAACGATGTGCTCTAATTCACACCTCGGTAATGCAGATCTCTGGATAACATCGTAAGTCTAAAATCGTAAGAATTTTAGTTCACTGAATTGAGATATAAATTTGAATCATGACTTTGCTGGACAACATATTGGTGACCTGTTTATAACACAAATTACATTAAAATTATGCATTAATAACATAAATATGATATTAAAATATTATAACAATTATTAATTGTTAAAACTGTAATTATCTCTACAGGATGAGAGCTACACTCGTGCTGTGTTATTAAACACAAATTATTATTAAATTTTATTAAACATATAAGATAAAATATTAGATTATATTTCTTAATATTAGATGAGTTAAAAAGGGATAAAGAGATAATGGAGACAAAGGCAGAAGAGAGGAAGGGAATTATCAGGAAAAAGTGCCAAGCCATTACTATTGCCTGTATATAGCACTTGGAAGGGGTCAGGATAAGGATTTGGCATGGGACGGGGGAGGGAATGGTGCCCAACCATTTGGACGGTCGGACCTACATGAAGCAAGACCGTCGCTCTACCATCCAGCCAAGTGGCTGGCCAAGAGGAGGAGGGAGGAAGGTGGAAATAGGAGGTATTGAAGAATGCAAGAGGTAATTACAAGAATGGTAAGCTGTTGAAAAAGAAGATACATAAACTAGAAATGACCGTAGGGGAGCTGATGGTCGCATGTATAAATAAGTAGGTGGTGTTGCCACAGGCTTTCCCATTGGTATTCTATTTACTAATTTTTACATGAGTAAATGAAAGTGAAGAAAAGAAAGAAAGCCCTCTTTCACCTCTTTCGGGTGAAAGAGGGCTGTGACGATCTTTGGAACCCGTAGGTGCAGGACCGGGACGTCCACCTCCCGAGGGTTGTGCGGCCCAGGCTCTGCTTCAGGCGGCTGGGGCAGTTCATAGCCTTGATGGGGTGGTTCTTCTCCGGCCACACCCACGGGGGGTCTTCAGGTTTGGAGTCCCTGTGCCTTTTTTCACCAATTTCAAGGTCAACCCCGGAACTCTCAGTTCCTGCTACGGTGCTGGAACCAAATATATTGGCGTTTGTCTTTCCATTGGAGACTTTCGGCGCTGTAGAGAGGGATGGGGGGACCTGCTGCCTGGGTAACAGCGTCTCCTCCATATCAACCTACCCTGGCTTTGCGCCCTGGTGAGGCCACTCCAGACCGACAACCAGAGTACAATACCATATTCTCCTAAGACTGATGGATGCCTACTACTACTGTAAAATAAAGTCCTAGTTAACATCTGGTTAACAACCGGATATTTACTGTAGGAATGTTGATGACATATTTCTGCAGTTACCTGATACTGAACACTTGCTGCAGTTTAAGGATGCATTCGAGCGAGGTTCCATGCTAAGTTTTTCTTACAAGATGGAGAGTGAAGGTAAGCTGCCTTTCTTAGATGTCTTGGAAAGGAATGGTGGCTTTCATACTGCAGTCATCACTAAGGAAACCAAACTAGGAATGTGCTTTAATGCTAGTTGTGAGTGCCTTGATAGATACAAGCAGTGTTTTGTTGATGCCTATGTCAACCATCTTGTCTCTCACGGCTCCAGTTGGAAACAGGTTGGCAAGGAAGTCGGTAGAGTAAGGCAGATTCTAGTCAATACTGGAAACTTTAATGGATACGTCGAAGAGACCATTAAAAGAAAGGTGAGCAACAGTACTATCTCTAACGAAACAGCCAACATCATATTATCAGTTGCTCCTATTACAGTATTCTACAAGAGCATCTTTTCCACAGCTCATGAATGGAGGAAAGAGTCAAAAAGACATTATTGATTGAAATGTGACCCCCTACTCATCAAGTTAATAATATACTATAAGAGCAAGAAGACTGCCAGTTTGCTCATGAAGAAAACTAAACACCAAGCAAAAGTCTTGAGAGAGGTGAATGTCGTCTATGCCTTCATGTGTCTACTTGGGGACCGTCAGCCCCACCGATCTCTGTATATAATAAGGAGCCTGACAATACACAGATAACAAGGCCTCATTAAAGAACATATCATTTAAACATACAAAAGAAGGACTTTGCCTCACTACCTACAATGAGGCCTACTGTAGACCCCAACCAGTGGAAAATGACATCACAACACAGTAAACAACAACGCCCATTCACCAGCACCTGAGCTCCGCGGCTTGACTTTAATAACCTCTGTAGCGAGTAGATTATCCCAATAAGATATTCGCTCCAAATGCATTGTTAATATTCCTGTCAACCTTTGGAGATGAATGAGGTGAGGTGTTGCCCGAGCATATAAGCAGCAGAATAGCAAACATTAACTAGTCTACTTTCAAGTGTGGTCTAGAGCAGACACTTGCGAGATACTGTACCGACGCTCAGTGCGCTCAATTCACACCAAAGTATCACCTGTGTACTTCTGTATATTCGACCAAATATATATATAGTATCTTAGTGTCTGTGTTTATTGTCACCATACTTTACGTAACAATAGAACCGTTACACCTCTACCTGAGTATATATCCCCCATACCATACATCCTACACCAAATATCACCTAAACATTTTCCAGGCAGGAATGAAAAGTTGTTTATATAATATATTATAGAATTCTTGTGTTTTTCCTTCTAAAATGCAGACCGGCCATGAATTTTGATAATCTAATCATCCAATTCAACGCTGATGCAATATAATATATATATATATATATATATATATATATATATATATATATATATATATATATATATATATATATATATATATATATATATATATATATATATATGGGAACAAGCCTGAATGGTCCCCAGGACAATATGCAACTGAAAACTCACACCCCAGAAGTGACTCGAACCCATACTCCCAGGAGCAGCGCAACTGGTATGTACAAGACGCCTTAATCCACTTGACCATCACGACCGGACATAATGAGGTGATAGCCGAGGCTATTTGAACCACCCCACCGCCGGCACTCGGATAGTAATCTTGGGCATAGCATTTTACCAAATCACCTCATTCTTTGGGGCACACGTGAGGAACACAAATGCGAACAAGCCTGAATGGTCCCCAGGACAATATGCAACTGAAAACTCACACCCCAGAAGTGACTTGAACCCATACTCCCAGGAGCAGCGCAACTGGTATGTACAAGACGCCTTAATCCACTTGACCATCACGACCGGACATAATGAGGTGATAGCCGAGGCTATTTGAACCACCCCACCGCCGGCACTCGGATAGTAATCTTGGGCATAGCATTTTACCAAATCACCTCATTCTTTGGGGCACACGTGAGGAACACAAATGCGAACAAGCCTGAATGGTCCCCAGGACAATATGCAACTGAAAACTCACACCCCAGAAGTGACTCGAACCCATACTCCCAGGAGCAGCGCAACTGGTATGTACAAGACGCCTTAATCCACTTGACCATCACGACCGGACATAATGAGGTGATAGCCGAGGCTATTTGAACCACCCCACCGCCGGCACTCGGATAGTAATCTTGGGCATAGCATTTTACCAAATCACCTCATTCTTGAGTTTTCAGTTGCATATTGTCCTGGGGACCATTCAGGCTTGTTCGCATTTGTGTTCCTCACGTGTGCCCCAAAGAATGAGGTGATTTGGTAAAATGCTATGCCCAAGATTACTATCCGAGTGCCGGCGGTGGGGTGGTTCAAATAGCCTCGGCTATCACCTCATTATGTCCGGTCGTGATGGTCAAGTGGATTAAGGCGTCTTGTACATACCAGTTGCGCTGCTCCTGGGAGTATGGGTTCGAGTCACTTCTGGGGTGTGTGTTTTCAGTTGCATATTGTCCTGGGGACCATTCAGGCTTGTTCGCATTTGTGTTCCTCACGTGTGCCCCAAAGAATGAGGTGATTTGGTAAAATGCTATGCCCAAGATTACTATCCGAGTGCCGGCGGTGGGGTGGTTCAAATAGCCTCGGCTATCACCTCATTATGTCCGGTCGTGATGGTCAAGTGGATTAAGGCGTCTTGTACATACCAGTTGCGCTGCTCCTGGGAGTATGGGTTCGAGTCACTTCTGGGGTGTGTGTTTTCAGTTGCATATTGTCCTGGGGACCATTCAGGCTTGTTCGCATTTGTGTTCCTCACGTGTGCCCCAAAGAATGAGGTGATTTGGTAAAATGCTATGCCCAAGATTACTATCCGAGTGCCGGCGGTGGGGTGGTTCAAATAGCCTCGGCTATCACCTCATTATGTCCGGTCGTGATGGTCAAGTGGATTAAGGCGTCTTGTACATACCAGTTGCGCTGCTCCTGGGAGTATGGGTTCGAGTCACTTCTGGGGTGTGAGTTTTCAGTTGCATATTGTCCTGGGGACCATTCAGGCTTGTTCGCATTTGTGTTCCTCACGTGTGCCCCAAAGAATGAGGTGATTTGGTAAAATGCTATGCCCAAGATTACTATCCGAGTGCCGGCGGTGGGGTGGTTCAAATAGCCTCGGCTATCACCTCATTATGTCCGGTCGTGATGGTCAAGTGGATTAAGGCGTCTTGTACATACCAGTTGCGCTGCTCCTGGGAGTATGGGTTCGAGTCACTTCTGGGGTGTGAGTTTTCAGTTGCATATTGTCCTGGGGACCATTCAGGCTTGTTCGCATTTGTGTTCCTCACGTGTGCCCCAAAGAATGAGGTGATTTGGTAAAATGCTATGCCCAAGATTACTATCCGAGTGCCGGCGGTGGGGTGGTTCAAATAGCCTCGGCTATCACCTCATTATGTCCGGTCGTGATGGTCAAGTGGATTAAGGCGTCT